AGATAAAATAATTTTCTCAACACCATTTCCCTTTTATTTTTGGTAAAAATCCACTTTTAACCCTTCACCTTACAAATTTTGGAGATTTTAGCTTCTCACCTTATATTATGATACTTTTAACTTTTTATTTTACTAAATTTGTAGATTTTGACCCCTTACCTACTAAAATTAAAGAAAATAGCCATCAGTTTAGACTGACTATTAATTCTGTTAACTGAAAGTAGATTTTTATCAACTAATAGTCAACTAATATCTAATTAATAGAACTAACAAAATATTATAAAATTAGTTCTGTTAACTCTCTTAGTTGAAAGAAGGTTTTTGACAATTAACAGTCAATTAACAGTTAGTTAATAAAGTTAATAGTCAGCTAACAGAATTAATAAAATATTATACATTAAAGGTTATTCTCTCCAATTTTAATAAATGAGAGGCTAAAAATGTCTTAATATAAGATAACAAATTAAAACTTCCAAATTTAATAAAATAAGAGACTAAAAATAAAGTTTTACGCTCATTTTTAGCGAGCTCGGTTGATCATATGGCTCGCTCCATTGATGACATGACATTGAGGTGGAGGTTTTTATTATTTTGGCATTGAATTTACAATTTAGCCGGGATTTTTACAGTTAATCATTATGGCTAGTGATCAAATAAAAACTGATAACATATTTTTTTTTAATAATTATTATTTTTAATTTTTTCATTAAATTAAAATTTTAAAAATAATATTTTATTTTTTATTATTTTATTAATACATGATTTACCATTCACATTCAATATTATGTTAATTGTTTAATTGTTTTATTTTATATGAAATATTGATACAATGATATTAAAAAATACAAAAAATTTTAAAGTATTGATAAGACTTAAAACCCTAATTAATTAGTTCTTAAAATTTTGGGACGAACCACTTAAATGTAAAGGCTTTATTGGGTTAGGTACTTGTTTTAAAGAAAATACTCACTTCGATTGTCATGGAATATAGGAAATGAGGGAAAAAAAATGATAATCTCTTGTTTAGAATTGGAATGTGTATCAATGTCTAAATGGTAAGATGTTGCATGGACTATTATATAACGAAATGTTTTATTAAATATCTATTATAGAGTTTTATCATTTCATTTATTATTTAATAGTGGATGCAAGGGTCAAAGGAGACATTTTATTTAAACTTCTTAGGTTGAAATTAAATGATGGTGAATTCAGGCCAAAGGAAAATGTAATCCAAGATACAGGAAATGAAAAAAAAAAAAAATTGATACACTCTCGTTTAGACTTAATTGAAATGTATTTCAACTTCTAAATGCTAGGATGCTATGTGAAATATTATATTATAGTACTTTTTAGTAATATCGATTATAGGGTTTTGTCATTATATTTATCTAATAATGGAAAAGAGATATTTTATATAATTATTTTTGAATTTAAAA